CAAAATCCGGGATTAACACCCAAAAACTGGGATCAGGGACCCCAAAAATTTGGATTAACACCCAAAATCCGGGATTGGGGACCCCAAAAACCGGGATTAACACCCAAAATCCGGGATCAGGGACCCCAAAAACCCCAAAAACCGGGATTAACACCCAAAAACCGGGATTAACACCCAAAAAACGGGATCAGGGACCCCAAAAACCGGGATTAACACCCCAAAATCTGGGATTAACACCCCCAAAACCGAGATTAACACCCTAAAAAACGGGATTAACACCCCAAAAACCGGGATTAGAGCCCAAAAACCAGGATTAACACCCAAAATCTGGGATTTGGGACCCAAAAATCGGGATCAGGGACCCCAAAAACCGGTATTAACACCCCAAAATCTGGAATTAACACCCCAAAAACCGGGATTAGAGCCCAAAATCCGGGATTAGGGACCCAAAAATTCGGATTAACACCCCAAAATCTGGGATTAACACCCCAAAAACCGGGAATAGTGATCCAAAAAGTGGGATTAACACCCCAAAATCCGGAATTAACATCCCAAAATCCGGGATTAACACCCCAAAAACTGGGATTGGGGACCCCAGAAACCCCAAAATTTGGGATTAACACCCCAAAAACCGGGATCAGGGACCCCAAAAGCCGGGATTAACACCCCAAAAATGGGATTTACACCCAAAAACCGGGATTAACACCCAAAATCCGGGATTAACACCCCAAAATCTGGGATTGGGGACCCCAAAAACTCCAAAATTCGGGATTAACACCCCAAAAACTGGGATTGGGGACCCCAGAAACCCCAAAATTTGGGATTAACACCCCAAAAACCGGGAATAGTGATCCAAAAAGTGGGATTAACACCCCAAAATCCGGAATTAACATCCCAAAATCCGGGATTAACACCCCAAAAACTGGGATTGGGGACCCCAGAAACCCCAAAATTTGGGATTAACACCCCAAAAACCGGGATCAGGGACCCCAAAAGCCGGGATTAACACCCCAAAAATGGGATTTACACCCAAAAACCGGGATTAACACCCAAAATCCGGGATTAACACCCCAAAAACTGGGATTGGGGACCCCAAAAACTCCAAAATTCGGGATTAACACCCCAAAAACCGGGATCAGGGACCCCAAAAGCCGGGATTAACACCCCAAAAATGGGATTTACACCCAAAAACCGGGATTAACACCCAAAAACCGGGTTTAGAGACCCCAAAAACCCCCAAAACTGGGATTATGACCCCAAAACCGGAATTAACACCCCAAAAATTGGGATCAGGGACCCCAAAATCCGGGATTAACACCCCAAAAACTGGGATTAACACCCCAAAAACCGGGATTAACACCCAAAAACCGGGATTAACGCCCAAAAACCGGGATTAGAGACCCCAAAAACCCCCAAAACCGGGATTATGACCCCAAAACCGGAATTAACACCCCAAAAATTGGGATCAGGGACCCCAAAATCCGGGATTATCCAGCCCAAATCCAGGATCGTTCACCTCAAAACCGGGATTAGTGCCCTAAAACCGGGATTATTTATCCCAAATCCGGAATATTCCACCCAAAATCCGGGATTTCCACCCGAAATCTGGGATTTCCACCTAAAATCCGGAATATTCCACCCAAAATCCAGAATATTCCAGCAGAAATCCGGGATTCCCGTCCCAAAATCTGGGATTTCCACCCCAAATCCGCCATTCCTGCCCCAAATCTGGGATTCCGATCTCAAAATCCAGGATATTCCACCCAAAATCTGGGATATTCCACCCAAAATCCAGAATATTCCACCCAAAATCCGGGATATTCCAGCAGAAATCCTGGATATTCCACCCAAAATCTGGGATTTCCACCCCAAATCCCGGATATTCCACCCAAAATCCGGGATATTCCACCCAAAATCCGGAATATTCCACCCAAAATCCGGGATATTCCAGCAGAAATCCGGGATATTCCACCCAAAATCTGGAATGTTCCACCCAAAATCCGGGATATTCCAGCCAAAATCTGGGATTCCTGTCCCAAAATCCGGAATATTCCAGCAGAAATCCAGAATATTCCAGCCAAAATCTGGGATTTCCACCCCAAATCCAGAATATTCCACCCAAAATCCGAGATATTCCACCCAAAATCTGGGATATTCCAGCCAAAAACCAAAATATTCCAGCAGAAATCCAGAATATTTCACCCCAAATCCAGAATATTCCACCCAAAATCCGGAATATTCCAGCCAAAATCCAGAATATTCCAGCAGAAATCTGGGATTTCCGCCCCAAATCCGGGATATTCCACCCAAAATCCGGGATTTCCGCCCCAAATCCGGGATATTCCACCCAAAATCCGGGATATTCCATCCGAAATCCGGAACATTCCAGCAGAAATCCGGGATTCCCGTCCCAAAATCTGGGATTTCCGCCCCAAATCTGGGATTCCGCAGATCACCCCAAACCTGAGCTCTGACATCGATGGCGGCGCCCGTGACGGTGCCGAACACCCCAAACACCCCAAAA